CTCTCTGATTCATTCTGCGTTTAAGTACGCAACTTTCAAACTTTCAAGAACCAAGAAAGTTAATTGTTACTATTTAGGGTTTTTACAAAATTTGTAGGCCCCACCACCTAATAATTTTATTTTTTAGAGAAGTATTTTATAGCATTTCTGTTTTTCTTCTCTTCTCATTTTCAACTTTTCTAGAAATACAAGCATTTGATAAGGATTATTGATTACCACTTCTCAATTTTGAAAAATTGTGTATAAATTTTATAATTTTGTTTCTGGTTTCTTGTTACTATTTTAAATATAAATAAAAAAATTTATTTTATCATTTTTTATTTATTAAATGTATATAAATATTAAAAAATAAATATAAAATTGAATGTTTTAGTATTTAATTTAAAATATTAAATTTTCTATACATGACTTTGGTTTTTTTTAATTTAAAATTTTAGAGAATAAGAAACAATAAATGGTTATCAACGAGGTCTTAAATTTTTGATATCGAAGGAAATGTCGAGGTCTTAGTTTTATGGAAGTGCAGAAAAAATGTCAATGTCAATAGATATTTCTAAAAATTTAAAAAAAGAAAAAAGAAAAAAGAAAAAACTGTTCTGACATTTCCTTGCAACCTGGTTGCAATGCTTTTTTGACGAGTCATCTAAGGATGTTTTATCGACACTCACATGTTCCTAGGAAAATCTCATAGGAAGTCACCCGACCGAAGATTACTCCAAAGCCAAACAGACATAACTTTTGAGTTAGCCATCAAAAAGAAATATGTACTTTGTCGGTAGAGGTAGTTAGGACTTATTTACTTACACGCAATTGGAATGACATGGAATCATAATGAAAATCAATGGTAAAGAAATCAATTACAATGAGATTGTTATTTCTGTTTACTATAAATTTTATGGAATCGGAATCAGAAATTAATTTTTTTTTATGCTGTTTACTAAAACTATCTAGATTCAGAATGGAATCAGATGCATAACATTTTTTTATGGTCATATATAACATTTACTATACCATTTCTTATTTCTAACTAATTATAAATATGTGCGGATCTTTTTTAGTTAAAATGATAGTAATTTTTATTTTATTTTATTACTATTTTATTAACTGTCAATATTTTGTATTATAACAAATTATTTAATAATAAAATAATAAGTAATAAAAATAAAAATACATTAACTAAAATATTTTTTTATTAGAATAATTATTATTTAATATAAAATACTATTTTTTTAACTGAATATAAAAAACTATTGAACTTTATTGTTTAGAAATTCTCTCTCTTTTTTAAGAGATTTTCTATTTTAAGATATGTTGATATTAATTAATAATAACAAAGTAAAAATAACTAATTAAAAAGTAAATAGAAATTTGAAATATTTTGTGATAAAATCACATCATTTTTATTAGAAGAAAAATTAGTAGTAGTATAAATAAATAAAAAATGATAAATGATAAATTAAAACGTAATGAGTTGCATTAATAGGGGGGAGAGAAATGATAAAATTTGTAAAATAATAACTATGAAGGGTGTGGGGCCCACAAATGTGAATGAAATTGATATAGTTAGGTTGTAAAAGATGAATGAGATTATTGGAGGAGTGGTGGATCCCATTAGTTGATTACATTCTTGCAATTTGGTAAACACATCAACAAGCATGAAAATTCTGATTCTCATTTTCTCGAAGTAAATGCGTTTATTACTTTCAATTTTTTTAAGTAATTCTAACTATGTTCGCATGATCTCATAATTCCTCTCATTCAAGTGTGGTGTCGTTTTATTGCTTTGCTACGCCCCTCCTCTCTACTTGAATGTGAAAGTCATTTTTCTCATTTTTAGAAAATTGCCCATTTTAGGGTATAATTGACTTTTTTTTTGGCGAGAGTTACTTGTTTATTTTTATTTCTTTATTATATTTGCAATTAACTATTTATTTTATTATTCTTGATCCGTTTTTTAGTACAACATGTCGGATGATGATCGAACTTATAGTTGAGATATATGTCTTTGAGGCTCACTTTGGCTATTTACTATGACCCTAAATTTTATTTGTAATTTTTTACTATCATTATTCCTTCCTCGTTCTGCCCTTTGTTTGATTGTCTTTATTATATATGCAAATCAATCAAGGCAACGACTTTTTTCGTTGTCAAAATAAACCTTTTGGCGACGATTCTCTAACCTTTAGCGACGAATTTCTCCGTCGTCAAATCTTGAAATTCTTGTAGTGTATTGTTGAAAATTGATTTTAATCTGATTGAATCGAATGGGTTCGAATCGGTTTTAATTTGGTTTTTCTCAACCTTATTCTTATTGTGTTCAATTTTTGAAATGTCCAAAATTCAATTAAACATTCAAATTTCCTACGTATTTTCTAATCAAATAAAGGTAAGCCTTTTTCCTCTCTTTCCAACAAGGTATTTTTTTTATCTCTTTTTTCCCTTGCAATAAATATCTCAACTCTCAACAACAATAAAGTTCCCATCTCAACATCATAATCATGTTAAATTAAAGTTATATTATTTCTATAATAAACTTAAAACGTTTGATTCACTTTATTTTAATTTTATAACTCGCAAACCGAAAATTTTTATTTTCTCACTTTCCAACAATTGGTTCGATTTTTTGTTTGGTTCCTTGATTTATGTATATAATATTGAAAAATGAGGTAAATAATAAATGTGAACTCATAAATTATAAATGGATCCATCAAAGATATGGAAATTTTGGAAACAGTCCGATTAACTAAAATCAGAAATCATGATGAAATGACTAATATTTGAATGAATATTATATATTTTTTGTCACAGAACTAAACTAAGCCCATTTATCCATTAATTTGGAAGTACATTCCAATCTGTTTGGATGTGATTTTGCAATTGCATATTGCAAAACATAAATAAACAAAGGAAATAATAAATAAAAATACAGCACAGTCTGTCACCGTCTCCCTAATTTTGTCCAATTATACCATTTTTGTGAGCCAGAAAGTGGTTGCAATTCTGAGATGTATCTTTCACTGTTACCAATGGGGAAAAGTCAGTATCACTGACTTTTTTTTCCCCTTTATTTTTTGCATGTCGTGCAAGTTGGAGCAAATTCTCCACAGCAAGAAAAATAAAAAGAAAAATCTTATCCAAACAAGGCATAGTTGAGTCAACCAATGGAATTACACCAAGTAAGCAGCAGGATACAACAATGAAACAACACCTAATCTAATCTCTTTGAAAAGTTTGGATTTTTATACCGCTAGTGACTAGTGAGAGTACTTCTCATGTTGGATTTCGATTTTTACTTAACAATAATTTAATCAGCTCCCAATTAAACTTGGGGATTAAAGAAATGATGATTCCAGAGAATTCCAGCACAAAGGGGACTCATAGATTCTCACCATCTTATCTGGGATTCAACTTTTCTTTCTATTTAATCCATAAAAAATGGTGGGTGCTATGTTCGTTCAAAGATTTCGCTTTCTTTTTTCGCTTTCTTTAGGGTTGTTAAAAAAAAGGAAAGAAAGAAAGAAAGGTGACTTTTGGAGCCCATATCTCTGTTGTTTTTTCAGTAAAAGAAAAGAAGAATGACAAAGCCTGCTTTTTTATGCTCTTTACCCGAGTGTGTGTTTGAAGGATAATCAGAATTACCCATGAAGCAGAAGCAGATCCCAACGCAGAAATAAATGAATAAATTAGATGATGTGTGAGAAAAGGAATGAGATTAAAAATTAAAATTTGTTTGGAAGACTGGTGAGTGAGTGATGTGTCCAAATTAAATGTGTGGGGGAGTGGGGAGCAGCAGGTAAAGACGAAGGAATATATCAAAATGCGAGTTTTCTTTCTGCAACATTTGAATGAGTTTGTTTATTCGAATGAATGATCAAAAATCTTGATTGGGGTCCCTCTTCAAAGGCTGCTCCTTTTACGGGTCACCTTCCCCATCCCCTCTCGTCTCAACGATATAATATTGTCCTCTGAAATCCAACGTCATCTCACCACCTAAGGGACCCAAGTTTGAACTTCAACAACGTGGCCTCATACTTTATACTGTATTTCAATCGCATACTTTGTTTGGTCGAATATATACGCATTAACTATTTGTGTTATACTAAATAACTAGAGAGTAATTAATGTGTAAACGTAAATCTACATCTAAATGGTTATTACTTATTATCTAATATCCACGTGGTTAGTAGTGGGCATGTATGAGAAAACCCCTCTATCTTGCCACCCTCTCAAATATGAGTTAACTAATTCCTTGGGAGAAAATGTTAAGTTAAATGAGAAATCTGTCTTTAGTTATAGTGATATTAAATTTTTATGTTCATTAGAGTAGACATGGTAGTCGCAAGGATACGAGGCTTTATGGTAGCACTTATCATGAGTATTGTGTTCAAGTCCTGCGCTGGTTACAGTGTTGTTCAGTTTATGCAACGAGTCTTCGATTATAAGGACGGACTCACCAGTGTAAACCACACGGCATAGCTCCACTAGTAAACTACTTGAGATTCAATTCAAAAGGTTTATTTACGACCTACCTCAGGTAAGAAGATATTAATATTTCTCTCCATAGTATGGATCATGGATTCTAATCTAAGATTTTCACTTACAATACAATATTAGAAAAATGAAAAGTACAACTACATACTATACTTTTCTTGGTTGATTCTGTGTGGGAACGTTCTTGAAAGACCTAACACCAAAAAAAAAAAGAAAGAAAAAAAAAACGATGGCATAAATGTTTGCGTGTTGGATTATGAAGGGGAAATGTGTTTCGAGAAAGAACCAGCATAAATGGGTATTTACGAAAATAACCCAAATATATTCCTTTTGACCGTGGGCCGTCATCGGCCCAGCCCAAATAAAACCTTAACATCTGAGCCCATCAAAAAAGCAAAAGAAAAACTGAATTTAGAAAAAGAACGGGATTAAATCTCAATCGTCGAGAAGGACGCATAATAGCCGTCAGATCTAGGGCATCGGGGTCGTCTTGGTGTTTTTATCTTCTCCTCCCGGGATCAGTAAACTTCTCTGCTGCAGCCTCGTCCACCAGGAAGGGCACGAAGAGCCAGAAAGAGAGGAGAATCGTCCAACATGGTTCAGCGACTAACTTATCGCAAGCGCCATAGCTATGCCACCAAGTCTAACCAGCACCGCGTCGTCAAAACGCCTGGTAACTCTCTCGTTCCGCTCGATTCTGTGTCTGTTTATTGCTGGAATTACATAACTGCTTGATTTTGATCCGTCCCGTCATACATTCCTTCTACATTTGATATTGGCGATGACCTTTTCTTGGAGCTTCAATGTCAAATGATATCTTTTCGTTGGTTTTCTTCTGTTCTGTATTTATTCTTCCTTTCATCTTCTTCCCTTCTGTTTAAAGGCGGGAAGCTTGTGTACCAGACTACCAAGAAGAGGGCAAGTGGACCAAAATGTCCGGTCACCGGCAAAAGAATTCAAGGGGTATGTCTTTGATCTCAGTTCCCTGCTCTTTTTTCTTCTTTACTATTTTTAGTCTTTTCCCCTGTCGAGTTTGGATATTTTGAGTTGTTGATGCTTGTTGTAGCTCTCTTAGCCTCGCACTCCAACTGCTGATTTATGATGGTTATATTATCTTTATCACGTACGTGTTTGCCGTTAGTGTATGGATCAATGCTAATTGCTAAATGTAGCACTTGTAGTAAATTACCTCTTTTTCTTTCTTTCGTGTGCTCTTTCGAGCTTACCTTGGAGACGAGGGAAGGGAAAAAATAAATGTTGCAGATAACTTCCTTTAGTTGGGTGCTCCTTTTTGGTCCATCATCAGTATTCAAATTTGTACATGTTTGGAACTTTTGGTTCATTGTGATTGTTACTCTAGCAGTTACTGGATATTATAGAGAGCCCAGTACTTTTCTTTTTCCTCTCTTCCTTCGGAATAACTACGTTGACATTGACTGATTTCTGATCTTCTCATTTGGAAAAGTCACACTCCGGCTAATTCCTGCTGACATTATTAGAATGCAAGTTAAATTTAATGTTGACATTTTTTGATGGACTGATCAATTGGATTCTGTTGTTTCCCAGTCTCCCAAGTAATCGTTACGTTGTTATCTAACATAATCAACTACTGACCAAAAACTATCTATAATTCATATATACATTTCCATAGTTTCTAGTCTGATAGTATTACTTCATCTTTAAATGGTGTGAAAACTCATTTAAGCTACAAAATTAAGTCAGTTTTCTGGCCGATATTAGAATCTTGAATGCATATGCAGTTATAGGAGCCCTCGGTTATGGACTTGTTTAGTCATGAGAGATGGCAAAGACAACTGCATCCTTGTGATCCTGCACGCTGCAAAACATATTATTTTGCTTTAAATGTTAAGATAGTAACATCAAATACCATTCTGTTCAGCTTGCATGCTATAATCAGTTTTAAAGCTCTAGATTCTTGTTTTCTGGTTGTTTGTCTCCTTAGCAAAATTTGTATGTATGGCTTTCTATGAATGTCTTTGTGAAAAGAATGATTTCATTTCCTTAGCAGTTTCCACACATGAGCATGTTTGTCTTTAACTTCACTACTTGCATTCTTTTTACACAGATAGATTCCTGCGTATTCATTTGTGCATCATTACATACATTCTTTGTACACTAGTAGACACATCGCATCATATCGTTGATGCATTTATGTATTCATATGTATCCATGTATGTTTGTCTACCTACGTTTTGGTGTAATTCTTCAAGGCCATTGACCTTCTTTTGAATTCCATGATAGACTTTTGAATTCAAGTGTTTATTAAGAGGGCTGGTGATAAACCATGAATCTATATGACCATGTTGCTTAAGTGTTAAACCATGTAAATTTGTTACCTCTACAGATTCCTCACTTGAGGCCAGCTGAATATAAGAGGTCTAGACTACCCAGGAACCGAAGGACTGTAAATCGTGCATATGGTGGCGTATTATCTGGAGGTGCTGTTAGAGAGAGGTTAGCTTCCCATTATCTTTTCTCATTACTCAATATTCATCTGTTCGTTGTGTATTCATCACAAGGTATTTCCTTAATCCTTCCTTCATGGGGTACAGAATCATTCGGGCCTTTCTGGTTGAAGAGCAAAAGATTGTGAAGAAGGTATTGAAGATCCAGAAGGCGAAGGAGAAGTTGGCATCAAAAAGCTAAATTGTGTTTGTTATTTTTAGAGAATGGAAGAAATTTTGACTTTGTGACTTGATGCTGAATTTTAGCGATTATTATTTAAAGTTTGGTTTGGAAGGAATGAGATTTTAGTCCCCGAATTTCACCCTTAATTGACATGGGATACCTCTATGGAATATTTGCAATTTTTTTATTAGTTTCTTAATGGCATTTCATCATCCAAATTCTCCCAGCGGTCTTGCATGTACTCTAAATTTAGGGTTATTATGGCTTAGGTTTAATTTCCAGTTTTTTAGTGTTTTTATCACGATTTTTTTGTTTTTAATTCTTTTTTTTTCCCCTACAATGAAAAGTGATAATATAATCGTTCTTTTTTGTGATAAATAGAAATGTGTTGGATAATACTTTCGTTCCTTGTTACTTTTCAAAATAATAATTTTAGTAATTAGTAGCGGGTTTGATAAAACCATATGATTTGTTTGAGTCCTTTTTTAGTATAAGATGAAAATTTGAATTTATGATATCTTTGTTTTTGAGTACCAAGTGTGAGGGGATTGAATTCACTTTTTTAGTTGAAGATGTATATCAATTATCGTTGAGTTATGTTCGTTTTGCATATATGTCTAACCTAGTTGGGTTATACTGAGACTATTTATTTAAATTTTTTTAATTTTGTATTCTAGCTTTCAACTTTACAAGAGATTTTCGATGATTTAAATGTTAAGCTTAACCATTGTGTGTCTGTTGGCATTTGAACTTCATTTTTTATTGTATGGTTTTTCATGTTCATTATTTAATATTTATAGGGTGAAAATAATAAGTTTATTTAATCCAGTTCCAAAATAAAGTCCATTGACAACTTCTAAAATCTTTCTTTCCTGTTTCTTCATTGAAGTTGTACTCATTTATGGTGGCAAAAATGTGGTGCTCATTTTCATGTTTGAACCTTGAGCTATTAGATAAAACTTACAAAAAAATGTTGGTTCCTTTCTACTATTTTGATTCTAACTATTGCAATTTACATGGATTAAAAACAATCTAAATTAAAACTATTTAATAACACAACAAAACATAACAAATTTGACTTTTAGTGATTATAGGTAAAACATGTTTGTAGTTTGCTGTCTTAGTCCATAAACATGACACCATGTCTACTCAATCTCTTCTAAGTTGAAGTTTTCAATCTTACGGCAGAGTTTGTATTTAATTTGATTAAAATCAGTTCCAATCTTAATTGAATGAATACTCCATGTATTACAATCACAAGTGTTTAAAATTAAAAATATAAACCTATCTCAATTGCATGCATATATTCTCTAACAAATTGTCATGAGTTTGAATTTCTATCGGCACATACTACTCCAAGTGTAACTAGTCTATTCATTTTTTTCTTTTGACGGATAAATAGTACATTCATTAAAATAATTAATTTGATTAATTGAGGTGTAAAAAAAAATTCATAATTAGTAATGGAGTGGGGTCGATATTGAGCAATTGACCAGGCATTTTACTAACCTCTTTATCAAGGTTGAAGTTTTGAATTTTTTACCCTTTATTGAAGAAGGAAAAAAAGAAAAGGGGGGCATGAAATGAAGTATATCTTTCTGGCTTTGATGTTATATGTCATTTTGATTTTGATTTCGTACATGTAACTCACAAATCCCAATTTATTTAAAGTTTCCATGAAGAACTCCAAATTGGAAGTATTTCAAGAAAGGTACAAATCCAAAAATATTATAACTACAATCTTAGATAACAACTTTGATTTACTCGAATAGGTTAAAAAATAGATAATGTTAGACTAATAATATATTGTCTACTTTTAGAACTAAACTAGTTTAGTTTATTATTACTATTACAAAAATTCGACCTATTTGTTCAAACTTTGTTATTTTAAACATTCTACGATACCTGACATGAACAAAATCCAACATTAGTTTTTAATCCAAGATCAATAAATTTATGTTTAAATACATCATTTTCGGTTTTGTATATTTACCAGTTACACAATTTTCTCTTTTTTGTAACGTTAAATCACTTGAAAGCTTAAAACTCTCGACTATATTTTTTCTATATTTTCTAAAAATTCCTCCTTATTTGTCCATATAGGGAGTAACACATAAGAATAATTAAGTGACTTGAGGTGGTAGAAACAACCTGCACGAGTTTATGAACGCTAAAAATTTTATGATTTTATACTAATTACCCAACTGATAAATCATCACCAAAATCCGAAAATTCTAAATTGACAACTTAGAGTATATTGTGTTAATTTGGAGAATAAAACTTAAGGAAAATAAGAAAGAGCATTTCATTAAATACTTGCTCATAGAATCAAGATTGATATATTATTACAATTAATAAACAATTTTAAGGACCGTTTGGTTTTAATTTGGACCTTAAATTTGTTGTATGTCCAATTAATTAATTAGTGTTGTAGAAACCGAATGAAAAGTCTTTGATTTTGGTTTTTTTTTTTAAATGAATAATTCGTGGGAACCATCAACTTTCTCCGCTCAATAATAAATACAAAAAAGAAAAAACCCTTGATTTTGGATGGTGAAGTGAGTTATACTGGCTTGGCCCATGCCAAATTGCAAGTGCTACATATAATATAAATAGATAAATAAATAAATGTATATAGCTTTATCATAATATATTTAATATTTGACCTTATCATAAACAACATGGCGCAGCCCACTACTAGTTAATGCCCACAAATCCATTCACCTCACATTATTCACATCAATCATATCATATTAGCACTCCATTTGAGTCATTATAACTAATAAATATTTATTTTGTTATGTAACATATGTTTATTGCTATGATTCTGATATATATATATATATATATTATTTTTTTACTTTGCGCAAGTTATTTATCTTCTATAATATACATTTGAATTTTATTCAATTTATATCAAAGTATATATAATTGATTTTAGATATATGTATCTATTATATTTGATCTTAGAAATAAAAAATTATATGATCACCCCGTAAGAATGTCGTTTGGATATATTTCTTTTTCGTTTAATGATAATATGTAGATTGAAAATTCAAATATTTAAATTTAGAAAATATTTGATTCTTTAACGGTGAGGATCAAATCTTGTTCTTACTGCCATTGAAAAATTGACAATTCATTGATTTTTATAAAAAATTTATATTTTTCTCTTAATTATCAAATATTTAAGGATGGTAAAGACTTTATCCGAACGGCCGAGAAATGAAGTATTTTTCTTTAAACTTATCGAAATGAAATATGATTTTTGAAAAGTATGGGTCGGAGGTTTTGTAATGTCGTCAAAAGTATATACGACATGAGAGATTTTGAGTCGGCCACGTCCCACGTAGGAATCCGATATGTCGCTTTCAATGAAGGGAAACTAGTCTATGCAGTATCATTTTCTGACATTCAATTGCGGGCGGCCCCCACTGTTTTACCCAATCACATGCAGCCACCTGTCACCTCATAAACACAGTGTAGTACGATGGAATCATATGTAGCCACGTGTATGAAGATGATGCCAAATTCATACAAGAATATCTAATGTTAATTGAAAGTTGAAACTGAACAGAAATATATATCTCTAAAAAAATTTAACACAAAAATTCATATTTCAATGTTAAATCTAAATTTGAAACGTTAAGTTGATAAATTAGAACGTGTAGTATAAATTTTACTTTTATATATATATTCTAATTTATTGCCACCAAATTACTAAAAATATGTAATTACCACCAAATACTATGGTAACTTATTTGAGTATTCTATCTTTAAAAATTGAAACTAAAATTGATAAATGAATTTCTTCAAAGAAAAAAAAAATGAATGTTGTTTATTTGTCTTGGTTTATGCTGTTTTCTCGAGAAATCCTTTGTTGAGATTTTTGAAATTTTTTCAGTCTTTTTTATTCATAGTAGTTAAAATGGTAAAAGACATGATACATATAGAGTTTACTTCATGTATATTAATTAATTGAAAATATGAATTCTATACCTATTATTTTGGTTCAAAAATCTTCTTTTTTAACTAAAAAACTGGTGGAGTTAAAATTCAAACCTCTTTAGAGAAACTTTGGTGTGATTCTTCCCTACATAAATTATATAATTTGAGCAACTTCCAAATTCAAATGTCAAATTTGATAAAAAAAATGTAATAGGCGTGAATTCATTAGTGGTAATTAAAGTTATATTTTATAAAAGCTACGATCAACTTTCTTTTTTTTTTTTTAGGGAAAATAACACATCCAACCTAACTTTCTTCCAAATTTTATCAAGAATTTTCATAAATTCTTGGTTACTATGATAAAAGGACAAATCCTTATACTTTCATATAGTCGTTTCATGAATGTAATTATAAGTTTTTTCTAAAAAAATAATTTCTATGTGAAAACGAAAACGATCAAAATCTTATCGCGCAATTGTTTTTTTAGTTTTGACAACTTCACTAAATCTAAAAGGGCATGGTACATGTGCTGCGACATGTCGTCAAGCTTATAGGAAAAAAATATAAAAAAAGAAAGAAAAAAAAAACCCGAAGTTGCAGAGAAACAACCTAAGCTAAGCCGACAAGGACAGTTGACATTTTGATAGCATAGATTCACACGCTCGCTTTGGCTTTATTAAAGGAAAATAAATAAATTAATTAAAAAGAAAAAAACAACAGTGAAACAGCTTGGTTTCACTCGGTATCTTATATCTTCCCCATACCGTTATACCCACACCCATATCCACATTCAAGACATGTCATCATAACAACACGTTCAAAATCACCATCAATTCCAGCCCATTTTGACTGCTTTTGATTATTTTAATTTTTTCAATTTTTATCTACCAATTATTATGAAGCTGCAAAGTATGTTATTATCGATCTACCATATTGAGAAATAATTAGAAACGATCATCCTCATGTGTTTGGGGGAAAGAATACTCTGGACACGTGGAGGACAGCCATTGGTGCTCCAGGGTGACCCATGAGTCATACCCCAGCTCGGACCGCCGAGATCACCACTACTAGCATTGACAGATACTAAGTATGAGGGCCGAGGTGAACTTGGCCGAGGTCCAACCTACTGGGAAGCTCGGTGGGGGCCGATGTGAGCTACTGTCAGCGGCGTGATTATCGGGTGTAACCGTCAGTCCTGAGATTACCGGGTGTAACCGACGGTCCCGAGATTACCGGGTGTAACCGTCGCGAGATTAGTGGGACTACCACCCATAAGTAGAGGACTTCACTCCACGATCAGGTACGATGATTTCTGACCTCGAACTAAACTGGGAATTCGACCTATACTGACTTGATCGCCGGAGTGCTCACCTTTTCGTGCAGGTCCGCCCAAGTATTCAGATCGGTCCGGAGGCCGAGTTCGAGCTGCAATCTGAAATACACTGTTGTGCATATCCTTGCATAAACATCATGTAACCTTTCAACGAAACCTCAAAAATGTGTAGTGACCAACCTATTAAACTCAACCAAAGTATAGTACAAAATAGCTTTGTAAACATGTAACAAACTTATGGAACAACCTATCAGACCGATGACATAGGACCTACCAACCTATCCCTATAAACACAGAGACTCATTTCCGTCCATACAGGTAGAAGTACCACTTATTTGATTCCTCGTTCTGAGAACAAGCATAGATATCAAATTCTTTACTAATTTGGATGTCGAAGTGTTTGATCTCTGCGTGCATATCTTACCTCGGAAAATACCTTGGACACGTGCTCTTCAGAATTAAGTATATATAAAGAAAGGTAAAATTTTGAATTTATACCATTGAGAGGAGTTTGTACAAGTCAGCAAAAATAGTGTCAATCATTGTCTATATATAGAGTATGGGAACAATACAAAACTATTATTGCATAGTGCAGGAGCAAGATATCCATAAGCCGACACCCAACTTGGAAAACTCATTCGCAGAGATCAGAGAGAATGGGGAGACCACCATGGTGCGAGAAAATTGGGGTGAAGAAAGGCCCTTGGACTCCCGAGGAAGACATCATCTTGGTTTCTTACATTCAACAAAATGGCCCTGGAAATTGGAGATCAGTTCCTTCCAACACAGGTACCACCTATACCCGGCCAGATTATAATTTCATTTCATTTCCAGCTGATCGATCATCATATATGGTGATGGGAAAGTATATATTAACACAAATTAAAATTCTTTATTATAAGGTTTGCTTAGATGTAGCAAGAGTTGCAGATTGCGATGGACCAATTACCTACGCCCCGGAATCAAACGAGGCCAATTCACTCATCATGAGGACAACATGATCATTCATCTCCAAGCCCTCTTAGGCAACCGGTACATAAATTTCATTCAATTTCTTCAGTTTTTCGTTATAATAAATAATGCTTAATTAAACGTGAAAAGAACAGATGGGCAGCCATAGCCTCGTATCTGCCACAGAGAACGGACAACGATATAAAGAATTACTGGAACACCCACTTGAAAAAGAAGGTAAAAAACCTTCAAAATGGGAATTTCTGCAAGGGCCGGTGGGAGAGAAGGCTTCAAACCGACATTCAAACTGCCAAACAAGAATTGAGGGAAGCTCTATCACTATCACTCATCGACAAACAAAATCAAGTTACCCACCAATCCAATAATAACCCTAAATTAGGCCATCATGAACAACAACTTTTTTCTTACTCATCATCCTACGCATCAAGTGCCGAAAACATTGCCCGATTGCTCAAAAACTGGACCAGAAACAAAAACAACAACAATTCTCCCGACATCAACTCAACAACAACAACCCAGAATAATTATTGTAACTTGTCGGTGGAGGAAAATTCACTCACTTTGCTGGAGAAATGGCTGTTCGACGATGCCGCCGCCGCCGCCGCGCCTCAAAATCATCATCAAGATTTTCTCAACTTCTCCTTACAAGCTGATCATACTCCATCAACCATTGTTTAGCTTTATTTTTATCCCCATTTCCAAACTGATCGTCGTTTGCTTTTTGCTTTTGATAGTAATTAATTAATTAGTGGAATTCAGAAAGTGTAAATTAATGAACCAAAATCATGATATCAATTATCAACTATCTGTTTCTATTTAAATTACAATAAGTGTTTTGTTTCAATTGGATCGATGAACTCATTTAATTTTTATTTAGTTTCAACAAGAAAAATATTTCTTTTTCCACAGCAGGTTAAAACTTTATGAAATGAGATCAATCATATATTATGGATTAAATACCTTTTACATTCTTTGAGGTTAAAAAGATTCAATTCTAAATGGGAAAATTACTGTTAAGTTTTTTTTTTCCATCCAAAAGGCATTATTACAATGAAAATAATTGTGCTTATGGATCAATCCATTTCCTTAATCAAAATATGTATACGATTTCGTTTGCACTTCTTGTCATTCCAATGTAGCCACTTTCTTTCGTGAATTAATTACTTTGGTCAAATCGACATGAAGAAAACAAAAGGGTTGTCGTGTCTTTTAACTATGTTGTGTTAATCATGTGTCTTTCAGTCGGTGGTCGGATCAAGTTTTATTCAGAAGATATAAAGTTTAAGATTTTTCTTTTTTGTTATAAGAATTAGTGGATCATATTTCATAAAATATGGATTTCACAACGACTACCAAGTATTTTAAGTTTGTGGATGAAACATACTAGTCATTATTATTAATATTTCATGAGTTAAGAATAACATAATTAAATTAAGGAAAAAACTATCTATTTTAGTTGTCATTTTCAACATTTTGGTGCTTAGAACTTATTGCTACAATACAAAAATGAAGAACTCATTTTTTAATTGAAAAACGTCACATGATTTAGAATGATTAAAAACATTAAGATTAATCTAAATGTAATGATATTCTAACGTGCTAACATGCATGTGTACCGTCTAAAAAAGATTATATACTTGGTCGACCCTTGTAAATTAGACTGGAAAGATTTTGGAATTTGATTATAAAAGGATAAAATGGACCACACTAAACTTACCTAAATCGATAGATGAATAAATAGTAAGAAAAAAAAATTTGGAGAAAATTCCTTTCAAAAGTGGGCGTGAGGGGGGACAATTTACAATGAATTGATATATAGGGGACTATATATTAAAGAAAAACACAATACCGAAGAAAGATATCGAAAAGAGGAAAAAAAAGAAAAGGCTAGTGATGTTTTCAGTGTCCATCGGTTCGCCTAACGATATTAATTATTGTGCGGATACAATTTTAATCTCGAATTGCTTATCTACCTATCTCCAACTAAAAAAATTTGAGTTCGAATCCATTATTTTATGTTGTATTAAAAAAATAAAAATATAATATAATGAAAACAACTGTACACATGGTGTGTTTCTGCATAATCATCCATACATTATTGTACATTTCCAGAAGAATTACAGCCTTGTATGTTATTTAATTTTTATTTACATTGATGATAGTCCATTGAAAGAGACTTGATGAATACATAAAATATGACTTTTTTTGTTACTATTGATGTTGGAATTCAACCTCTTGGGATCTCGCCAAATTCGTACCATTTGTTTAGGCATATCTCTAAGATTTAGCTTACCCTCGTAATTATAGAGATCGAACACTAATCCTTTAGGGTTTACATAGTCGAATCCTATTCCCTTGAGAATTTACGTAAGTTGAATCCTTATGCATTCAGGAAATCTTAAACGAAGTAAGCTTCATATTGTATTAAGAGTCGAGGCCAAGTCGACTCGGACCGAGCTTGCACGGGGTCGAGGTGCATTGGAGAGGTTCTTGGCCACTGGGCCGAGAACCCCTCGACGCTGACTCCAGGCCGGTTATGGCCGGCCATGTCGTTGGGCCCGACCCTCCTATCTCTTTTTGGGTCCGCTCATTCTTCGACTCTCTTTCCTCGTTTCGATTGTTTAGTCTGATCTCTATTTTTTTGGTATAACAGTTACTATAATATGAAGGGAGCTAAATAAATTTAATGAAAGGAGGGAGAGTTGGAAAATTCATTATATCTTTGATCTATTTATTTCTTTAATTTCTAAGGTGGGAAAATGGAAAGAAGAAGGTGACGGTTGATTTTGTTGTTGGTGAATTACCTATGAACAATGGAATAATAATAAACTCAATCCAACAATAATGTAATAGAATCAAAAAGGCAAATTGAGATACTCAACGAAATTAATTAAGTATTATATTAAGAAAACGACTAGAATCTGAAGGCTTAGAAAAAAACACACTGGACAAAAATCAATTGATGGGTAAGTTGTTGAAGCAGCCAACATTTATATTATCAAGAGCATTCAGCTGAAAATGAGGACTAAAATTAATTGTTTTTAACAAAATGGTGACTGAATTAATCATCTGTCTAAAAATTATAAGTTACACATAAAGGGAATCAGATCTTTATGATAGGATTATATATTATAATTAAGTTGATATAGACTTATTATGTGATAAATTACTGAATGGTTGGTTGGTCGGTCTAAAGTTTTAATATTTGAAGTTGTTGCCGATCTGAATATGGTTAATTTAACTAGTAGTTGAGAAACTATGTTTTTTAAGATGTTAAAAAATTAAATCAAGAAAAAAGACATTGCCCACGAAGTCAATAAATTATGGGGGATCTACTCAAAATAAATAAATAAATAAATAATTATGGGGGAAATTAGAGGCGCCTGCACCAAGAGAATAAGAACTATTAATCGGGTTAGGATTTGAAAAAAAATGAAATAATTGTGTAACAAATTTTTTTTGTTGCAAAACAATGAGGGTAAGAAATAAACTTAAAATATTATTTTGGACTCTGTATTTTTGTTTTAATTTATTTTAATCTTATATTTTTCAATATTTTGACTTATTTTAGTTCTTGTATTTTTAAAGAGTGACCATTTTGGTTTATTAATTTTATTTTTTATCTCATTTTTTCTATTAGAATATTTTAACATGGCGCTACACTCATTATATTTATTGAAATGCAACTATGATTTTATATTAAATAGTTTATATTAGGGGTAGAATATGTGTAAAAAGTTTGAAAATATGGATGAAAATAGTCACTTTTTAATAGTACATAGACCAAAACGAACATTTTGAAAGTATAAAGGCCAAAATGAACCAAAGTTGAAAATACAAAGACTAGAATAGTATTTTAACCGATAAATAATAAGAATCAAGAGTTTATTTATTTTCTTCACTATTTTACAAAAGCCAGTCCACACATTACTCAATTTTTTTTAGTACAATTAAATATAAGGTGTGTGAATGTTAATCTCTGACCTCAAGGAAAGAAGTAGATGTCAAATTGACTACTTAAGTTTGATGGAAAAAAAACTCCTATTTCTACCCATGAATAAGTAGAAAAATAACTGAATTTTTTTAAAAAAAAACAGCAAAATAAGAAGACACAATGTGGAAAACTCCGTAGAAAAACCACGGACCACTAAGAAAAATCTACTATATGTAAAAAATTATTACAATCACACGGATTTCTCTTCCTAACCCCAATTACACGATAAATATGTTGACATAAGAAGGAACGTATTTACTAGTTATATCGTCTCTAATTGCGTGAATTTCAAGACATTCTTTGAACCAATCATACGTTTTATTAAGGTAGATAAACCAAGGGGATCCCCTCTGAGAACCGTATATGAGAATTTCGAAACACTCTCTTAAAGCAAATATTACTCCATTAACTAACCCTAATATAACATATTTAAATCATTTCCATAGGGATTAATAAAACTTAAAAGGTCACAAGGCTCATAGCACATGGAGCACACATCCTATCCTTTCTATATCTTTTCAATGCAGAACAATTGCCCTTCTAATATTTCCAACATTCAACTAAATTTTCAATTAAGAACAAATTTTTTTTGCTAATTTTTATGTATACAAACATTATCTTAAGTTGAGAGAATCCAATGAAGGCATCAATTTTTACCATTTTTTAACTTAAAAAAAAAAAAGCTTATATATGTTAAAAAAATTTGTAGGTACAAACCTACATCAAAAGTATATTATCTTTTATCTCTTGTATTAAAAGAACTATATTATTTTGGATTAATTTATATTAAAAAAAAAAGAACCTTTTAAACCGAAATGAAAAATTGAAAGGTAATAGTTTTGAGGTGTATATACGTTTTTTATTTTTTTATTTTGAAATAGATATCTCAAAAGTATAATATACAGAAAAAATCATTTTCAAAGGGGAGCTAATAAATTAATCAAGTGGATGAATAGAGATAGATATGAAACTCACGTTTGTTTGAGACTCTATCAATCAGTTCAATAAAAGTTGGTGGGGGCAGCCCCAGATTTGAATTTGGGTTTGGGACCATCCAATTAAATCCTTTCCTACAAGAATTTCGAGGCCTACCTTTGACCTTTCTAAATATTTTCTTTATGTATTTAATCCTTGAAATTTTATATATAGTAAATCCATATTATCTACTCCCCATTTATCAGGGCCTATGACATGAGTTAATTAATTTACCAAGCCTGCTTTAATTTTAATAGTTGGTGAGTCGCATAAACAACAAAATTATGACTAAACTCAAAAGTATTTTATTTAATTTTTTTAGTTCGGAGAAAAAAAGAGATCAAAATTGTATGGATTTGGTGGGACTAAGGAGGAGCTAATTCCACCGGTAATGTTCCTGTCCATGCAAACAAACAAGCTGTCAATTTAGCTTTATAATAAATGTGTCATTTAATTAAAATAATTATTTTCCAATTACACCAAATATATATGTGTAAGCTAGACAATAGCATGTGCTATCCTAAGACCCATCCCTTTCTCTCCACACATCTAGATTAAATCATCTTAATTACAAATTAATTACCAATAGCTCGAAACGTTTTACTTTTTGGTCCCTTTTAGACTTTCTTCCTTTTAAATTTGATATTAATTTATTTATCATTACATCTTTATTTTCCCCTATCTGTCGCAATATTCATCCACGACTATCTGGGCCGGATACAAAGGGCCAGAACTTGAATGGGCCACACTGTGATACCAATTGGAGCGCGGCCCAGGGTTATTATTATAATAAAAAATACAGTCCACGTCACAACGAAATGCCACGTGTTACTTTTTAATGCAAAGTCAGTTGCAGGAAGAAAAGAGTTGGCAAGTGGGCAGGCAATAATCAAATCACTTGTTAATTCAGTCATTTCGATATCTAGTATGGACACGTGGCAGAAATGTAGCCATGTAGGTCAACTCTCTTTTGTAGTATAGGTGTGAGATGACATGCTAAAAGTATCCAATATCCAATGGGGCCTTCCCATTGGCCATTTCCCCCAAAAATTAAAAGGAAAAAAGATAAAAGGATAATGGGACCTTCCACGTAGGAAAACGAAAGCAAAGTGCCTTTTCGCTTATTATATATAACATTTTTTTTGGTGCAATTTGATGATATAAAGCTTAGTAGGATCCTACTCCTAATCTTCATCAGTTCTGGATTATAACATACGTGGGTTGAAGATTCAAACTTATTTAATCGAAGATATATGTTTTAATCGGTTGAATTGTTCTCAAACTTTTAAGTATTATTTACCATTAAACTAACACCACGATTATACAGATTTAGGCATTCTAACCTCCAAAATCCTAGTGCATTAAACAAACACCTTGGGAATGTGTGATATGGGGAGGAGAAAAAAGGTATTAAAGGTGGTTGTGGAAGGTAGTAGTGGACGAATTCAGTTAATACTATTGAGTGGGGGAAGGGGGGTGGGAGTGGGCCTGAGATGGGCCCAAAAAAAAAAGAGGAGAGATAGAGAGAGGGGTGGGTGTATGGTCCTCTCAATGATGAGAAGGGAAAAAAAGGTAAATGGATGAGATGTTGTAATGAGTAAAGATGGGGAACAATGGGCCCAAAGAGAGGCCCATTTTGGCAACTCTGAAATTGTCGGATAGCTGTAGGTGATACAAGACAGGCTTGTAAGTGCTGGCATTTGGATTGATTGATGGGCCATTGGGCCTTCCATTTCTACTAGCGACAACTTTTACCAACTCCTTTTTCTTTCGCGTCTATAGGATTGAAGGACTGATCTCTCATCTCAATAATTGTTGAAAAAATTATAGGAACATTGATTAAATATCGAAGATTTGAGTTCTATCAAGTTTGAGTGGTAATACTCTAAATGAAAATAGTATAAGCATATTTAGAAGTTAATATTTTTGTGTTGTGCCGTGGGATTTAAGAATGATTAGATAGATGTAGTCTAATTTGTTAAAATACTTAATTTATAATTTATTCTGCTTCATTTAATTATTCTTTTCATGGAGAAAAGTGACACTTTCGATTTATTTTCTTCTCTTACAAAAGCAGGGTGATATTTTTTTCTTCTTGTCGTAGATTTTTAGCAAAGGGGAAGAAGGTTAAAACAATAAAGGAATAGAGGTACGACATAAGAGAGAGGGGGAATTAATTACCAAATGAATCCAAGACTTTCCTATTTTGTAATTTCAACTTTCCCATTTTAAGCAATTTCGTGACAACTATATCTTTTCATGTATGACCCTTGTCAAGAATTTACAATATCTAAAAAGAAAATAATAAATTTAAACATGAATAAATAGATTAATTCAATCTTTCTCTTAAAAAAAAAGAATGAACTGTTAAAGTGACTCTTTCTTTTCTTCAAGATTATATTAGTTCTGTTTTAATAATTTAGGATTTAAGCTCTCTTTAGGGCTAGTTTAGCTAATATATATATATATATATAAATATATATTATTATCCCTACTTATTATTATTATTTTAAATAATATTTTAATTTTGAGTTAAATATATATTTTTTTTTCTTTTCAGAAAAGGGTATCATTTTAATTGAGACATACAAGAGAGAGGAGGATTCGCAGAAAGCGCTCCAATTAAAAGTAATAGTAGTTATATCTTACATACAAAATAGTTTTGATCTAAAAGACTAAGAAGATGTTGATACTCTTATATCCTCCTACAGACTAGTGATGGATCGAGAAGTTTTCTCTGAATGTGCAACTATTTCTCTCCCACCAAATATACCAAAAAATTTTGAGTTAAAGGGATGAATCCCTATTTACATAATTAAATTCAATTGAGGATCTTCATTTAATGAAAAAAATTCTAATAAAAACAATAAAAATGGGCAGAATAAGATTATGGGTAAATTATACATATCGAAACGGGATGGGGACGAGGAATTATCCCGGTCCATCCCTACCCCGCGGGAGCCTAAACGGGATTCCCTGCCCTGTTGTATGTTTGCCAAAAATAAAAAATAAGTATTAAAGTGAACAATAGAAGAAGAAAGTTTATATATAAAGAAACAAAATATTACATGAGCAGCAAGACTGGCATGACAGAGATTAAACTGTAGAACTCTGTTCTTGGAATTGAATTGGCATTGCCATAATTGTTTCGACAGCTGACCAAAACTTCGAACCATATATAAAATAAAACCTAAAACACGCTCCTTGATTCTTGGATGTTGTTATTATATATGCTATGCGTTACAGAAATCAAGAGGATGGATGAAAATCGGCAAGGAAAAATGAACTCAAATCTCTTCAAACCAAAAAAGAAAAAAAAATGTGGCAAAAATCTCTTTAGGGAAACTTTTGTTTTTTAAAAAAAAATGTTGATGAGAATGGACAGCCATGTGTTTTTGTCTCCCTCAACTTACATAACGTGTCGAATTATAAGCACAGAGAACTCCCACCCTCTCTACACTGTTTTCTATTTTGTCCATTTCTTTGTTCATCTTTATGCTCTTCTCAACAAGTTCGTGAAGTTGCTTTCCTGTACTTATCAATATTCATAGAATAAGGAGTAGCTACGAGTTATATTCACGGGCAAGAAGAGAAGTAGCTTATGTTATAAATCTTTGTTAAGTCCCTTATCTTTTCAATTAGATCATTCTTAATAAATTAAATTAAAACCCCCTCCTAAAAGGAAAAAAAAGGGTCATAATTCTATGTGGGGTTACTCCAATTTTTAATCTTGTATTACTCAAATCCATTTAAAGAAAAGAAAATTTTGATGAAAACCCATTTGAAAGGGGAATAAAATGAAAGAAACCCATGAAGGGTTTGTGATCAAGATGGTGGTGTGGTGAGAAAGGCATATCTTATTGATGTTGAAATATCTTAGTTTTTATTTGAGTTTGATTTGATGCAAAAGGGAAGGGAATTAGAGGAAGTTGGGTCTTTGGTTGAAGGTGTGGGCACTGTTCTTTCCAATTTAATTATTGGAATCTTAGGTAGTCTGAGTTGATATAATGGACCAATGCAGCCTGCCTTTTGAGTGTCATTTGGACCCTCGTTGTTACTTAAAAATAGCATCCCCCAGCTCATCTTTGGGCTACACATCTATTCTATATTCTATATATTCTTAATTATTACTGCTTAATTATAATGTTAGGCCTAAAAAGCAGCTCATTTTCATCTCTTTTATTGAAATTAAATTAACACAAACATAATGATGCCTCTTTTATGTTCTTTCCTTTGACTCACAACCAGTGCATGATGCATTATTTGAATCAACAAAATTCTACACCCACAACCCAAAAAAAAAGGGAAAAAATTTTAAAAAAGTAATTGTGTGAAGAACCAGAAACCATATTTAGCTAGGGTTCTACTCCTTAATTAATTCCCCTCTTTGCAGCTCCCTTGTTAGGTTTGCCAATTGAAGAATGACACGTGGGATAATATAGGAATAAATATGCACTTAATTAAAGTTTATATAATATTGTGGATGGAAGAAGCAATTTGTGAATAACCCACTTCTCCTACCTTTTTGATTAGTAGTGAGAAGAAGGTTGTGGAAAGTTGTGTAGGAGTGTCACTGGCTTTTGACAAGATATTTAAATTTGGTAGAGGGTCAATCTTTGCCTTCTGATCAAACCAAAAGGATTTGGATTTGGATTTGGAAAAATGTTGCCAAAATAAGCTTGTGTGTTTCTGTTGTATCATCAATTAATTGCCTGTGCCCACTACCCAATGCCCTTATAAATAAGTCTCTTAGGGTTAGGGTTATATTAGGCAGTTTCTTCAAGCAAACCCACCAACCAAAGATTGAAAAGAATTGAAAAAAAAGGGGAGCTTCCTCCTTTCCTTTTGGCTCTCCCCATCCATATTCCATCCCAACCCCAGATTCAGCCAAAATTGGTGGGTTTAGAGCTCCGGGGGATTCCAAAACCATGAAGAAAAGGCTGGTGGTGGTGAAGAAATCTGATGGTTCGGGCGGCCGAAACCGCTCCGGCTCAGGCTCGGTGGTCCGCTACGCCGAGTGCCAGAAGAATCACGCGGCGAAGCTCGGGGGGTTCGCGGTGGACGGGTGCCGGGAATTCATGGCCAGAGGAGAGGATGGGACTGAGGAGGCTCTAATTTGTGCTGCTTGTAGCTGCCACAGGAATTTTCACAGAAGGGAGGTGGATTCTGAAGTGGTGTTTGAGTATTCCCCTCCAAACTCCAGCTATTGAAGGGATTCTTCATCATCCATCAAACTGCAAATTGACAAAAAGGGTTTGTTACATAATATTAAAGATTTCTGTGGTCTGCTTTTGATTTTTAATTTGCATTTTCATGTAAATCTGATCAGTAACAGACTTGGATATGATATTGGGAAGGGAAAAATAGGAAAAATCAAATTTCGGTTTGCTTTTGTTTTTGTTTTTGATCTTTAAGAATATTGATCCAGGGTTTTTTTGTTTTTGTTTTTTTCTTTCTTCTCCTTTATCACACCATCCAAATCCTAAAGTTTCTCTCCTTTTCCCTTTGTTTAGTTTGTCAACAAGTAACAATTCTCAATCAATTTCTTACCAAAGCAATGAAATTGGAGATTAGGGTTTTTATATTCTTTCCTTCAAACTAGCTTAACATGTTCACAGCACATCCCAATACGTAAATAAAATCCCTAATTTGGTGGTTGGGAGTTAAATGAAATAATTCGTATAAATTAAGAAAACCAAGGAGATGAATTCTCCCATTAATTTCATGTTTTTGTTCATAGATGACATGAAAAAAGCATAAAAAGTAATAGTCAAGGGATTTGATTTTTCATTTTTTTTTCCTTCCATGAAAGATCTTAACTTGTTAATGGACCACACAAAAACAGTGGGTACAGCCTGATAAGATACAATATTAGAATTTGATATAATATAATGATTTTGAAATAGGAAAATTATGTAGAAAATCTTTTCAAAACCCCACTAACAGTTCAATCATGTCTGAGATAATTATTCTCCAAATTCAATATTAATAATATATTAAAATTCCAATCCAATTCAATCCCAATTTAATTTGACCGATCCATATCCCAACACTGTCCCTTCATTTCTTCAAAGTTTTCATTTTATGCGTGAATTCTTATTTAATTTTCTACCATGTGAAAAATCCTTCATATCATATATATATTGATTGATTAAAAAACTATATCTTATATCCCAATTCAATGCATCGTCTTATGTTGTTTTTTGTATATTGATAGAATTCTTCATTTGTCTTTGCATTCAAAATATAAATGTAAAACTTATTCATTTGATTTTGTTTCTTATAGCAATTTTCACATGGAACTTTTTTTTTTTTTTTTTGACTGATATTAGCAATAGAGAATCATAAAAGTTTTGAATAGTTCTTTTGAGAGCAATAATGGAATGAGAGGATAATTTTCTGAATATGGGTTGTATATTTCCTACTTTTAGTTGATGTTTTTACTAATAATGTAGTCTGTGCTCTGCAGTATTCAAATTCTATATATAAAAACAGAATTATTTCTTAAAAAAAAGAAAAGGTGAAATAAGCATTTAATTTTCTGAGGCGATTCCCATAATTTAATAATGAAACTGTTCGTAATTTCATAAAGTTCCTCAATAAGATTGATAGGACGGAATTCGGCCGCAAAACAATGAATCAGTTCCCGGTGGCAGTTGAACGTCGCCGTCTTCTCCGCCGCCACCTCATTTATCAGAAACGCACGTGCGGAAATTGACCCATTTATATAATTGGGCTCCCGCTCCCACCAATCCCTGAAAAACTGGAGCCTGTTCCGGGCCGGGCTACACCGCTACCCGACCCGCTTTCAATCCAGACAAAAAAGCCTAAAAATCCTCTGCCGGTCTGCTCCGCTCCAGCCCCATTTGCTTTTTATGGGAAAAATAAAAAATCAAAAGAATAAAAGATTGCATTTTCTACAACATTTATTATTTATTTTGAATTCATCACTGTTCTATTACGAGCATTACAGTTACAACTTTATTTTTCATTTATTTATTTATTTTTACTTCTTTCGAACGAGTCATTAAATTTTTAACTTTTTTTTGCCTTTTTTTCTTTCTTTTTTCTTGGTGCAAATTTACTTTGTTGAATAATTAAAGTCTAAGTTTTACGTGCTTTTGAGAGGTATTCAAATTACTATTAAATTAAAGTCGTATCAGTGACCGTTTATATACTTTTATGTATATATAAAAGTATAGGTTATTATTTAATTCTCTTTAGAGGTAAAAGAAATAAGCCACTCTCTTTCTTTTAAATGATAATACTGTAAACTTAAAAAAGAATACTACTTATTTTACTTTAACTTATAACTACAAAATTCCACGTGTTGCTTACTAGTTACTTTAAATTTACAAAAGAAAAATTTGAAGAAAATGGTATCTTTTTTAAATCTGTTAATGTAATATATAATTTTTCTTTTGATATAAAAACATATAGTTAATCTACATTTTTTATTTTTGTTGAATGATAAAATTTGGTCAAATGACACGTCATCAGTTTAAAATTATATTTAGGACCAATTCTAAATTTACACATGTCATAAGTTAATTTTAAAATCGATGAATCAAACTATGCCAGTGTCATTTTTATAGCCGTCCAATAAAATCAATAAATTTGAACAAACCCATAAAGAGATTGGACTCAAACCCATGACCCATTAAATCCCATACCCACCAAAATTTTATAAATTGAGAGGTCATTTCTCTTTGAGACATTTGGAGAGACTCATAAGCATTGGAGACTTAGAGCAGTCAAAGTCATCTACCTTAATTAAGAGTGTGAAGCATCCAAAATCAACAAGACTCGAAGACTCCATCAAGCTGCAAATTTTTCATCAAGCTTCAAAGTCGAAGAACTTCACAAATTAAAAGTAAAAAAACTTCAACAAGCTGCAAAGCTGAAGAATTTAACAAACTAAAAGTTGAAGAATTTAACAAGCTAAATAGCCGAAAAACTTCATAAGCGTAAAGCTGAAGACTTCAAAGATTATTCAATAAGCTCAAAGTCGAAGACTTCACAAAGTCGTCATCAGCTACAAGCCAAAAAATTTCATCAACAAGCTCAAAATTGAGGACTTCAAAGATAATTCAACGAGCAAGAAGCAAAAAGCATCAACCTCATTGATTCAACAACAAACTCACAACCTAATATCTGATATTTTATTTTTATTTTTTTACTCTCCCTACTAAAAAATTTGCATTTGGGTAACTATTCATTCTCTTACTTTCTAAAATTTTAAATTAGGAATAATTTTAAAAAGAAGGAATGCATTTTTTTTTTACTTGAAATTTGATTTTTCAAAATATACATTTAACTTTTACTATTAGTTTGGTAAGAAATTTATGAGTACAATAGAAAATAAAAAATTAGAAATTTAGTAACATTCTTAGAATAATAAATGAGAAGAAAATAAACATATCAATTTTTAAAAGGAAAAAAGTGGTAAAAGAAATATTAAAATAGACCTAAGAGAGATCTTGGTAACGATTTTATCATTATTATTTTAAATTTTAATCGTGATTAATTATTTGAAAATTATCTTTCCTTTATAATTTATTTTTTAATAAATTTTTAAAAATCAATAGTCAATTTTTGTATAAAAAAACATTTTTAATTTAACCAAGAATTCAAAGAAAAGTGATTTTAAAAAGTGATGGACTAAAAAATAATAATTACCGAATTTTTTAATAAAACAAAGAAATTAATCAACTTTTGGAGAAATTAATCAACATGAAACTTTATCAAGAAAAATCAACATGACGCATCTCGGCTAAGATAACGAACATTTAATTACTTCTTTCAAAAGAAAAAAAAACGAACATTTAATTACAATCTTCTATTTTAATTATTAAAAAAAATGCTCAAAGAAAAAAAATAAAAGATTACAATACTCCTCTCCAGCACATTTTAAAAGATATACATTTTAGATTTAATAACATCAATAATTTTACGATTCTATCATTAATTTTTAAGACTCGTTGATATATATTTTTTTCTTTTTTGGTTTTTTTGATTTAAAAATAAATATTAGAAATATTACTCCCACCTATTAAGATTTGACAAAACATGGACCTAACAAAAATATATAATATATGCAACTGATTTGATATGAACCCCATATAGAGATATATGGCAAAAAATTTGGTTGGACCCAATCCTTGCAGGTCAAGAAATTTTTTTGATCAGCTACAGTCAAATTGAAGATTTCAAACTTGGTCACCAGCGGGACGAGGAAGAGTATTCCAGCCCTGTTTAATATTTTAATAATAACTGATTATTATATATAATAATAATAATAATAATTTTAATAAATATTATATAAAATTTAAAAACCTCACATTTCCTTTATTTTCCCTCCTAACCATAATTTTAATTTTTATAGTTTTTTAAAGAATTAAAGATTTGTTGGGTTGAAAATTCAACCATTTTTAATTATACTAATTTATCTTATATTCTATAAAAAAAAAGTTAAAAATTAAAACATTTTTAAAGAAGTAAAATAGGTATATTCTAAAAAAAAAAGAAAGAAGAAATTGGGAATCCCCAATACACGAGACGGGCCACACAAGGAACTAGGTCCCGCACGAGGTACCCATCCTTGTTTGGGAAAATCTCACACCCAATATTTTCGAGACGGCCGGGCAAGGATGAGAATTGCGGTCGGCCTCACTCTAACCTCATGAATATTGATATAGTATCGGAGTCTAACAAGTTCAAGCAAACATATGATTTAAATAAGTGACATGCATCTCAGCCTAGTAGTGTGACATGAACCATATGGTGTCTTGTATGGTTTTGTCACAATGACTCATGTGGTGGCATTATTATTTTGAATAATACTTACGTATTTGTCGGTTTTCTAACGATTGCCACTAAAAATTTGGAAGTTCTTTATTATTTTTTTAACATAAAATGTTATTGGTGAGAAAAAATCTAGTTTCTCTCGTTTGAATTCCTTTTATCTAATTGTTCTTAGGATTTTATTTTCATTATCTAAAGAATTTAAAATGAGAAGATATCTGTTAATTTTAAGTGAGGAGAAAGATATTTGGTAATTTATTCTCATAATCTAAGAAATTTAAAATGAGAAGATATCCAATGATATTAGGTTTTTGTTGGGGAGAAGATGTTTGGTGAACTTAAATTTTCCTTCCGAAAAATATTTCGTCCAATATCTTTCTATAAGAAAATTGATGCAAATTTGATCATTTCTATAGGGGATCAACAAAAGAATATTTTCTTTTCTATGCTGTTCTGTTTTGTAAGTTAATCGTGATCAGCAAAAGATGTGTTGACAAATAAACACCTAAGTATCATTCTATTATTTGGAGCGGTCGTCTGGTCTCGATACCATACAAACAAACGAGACAAGTGGTTTTGTCTATATAAAAGATGAAAAAGAAAACCTCCATCAAATCATCGACTGAAGACTGAATGATCGGAAGCTCAAGAAGTTTGGATTTGATGTGCAACTAATGTATGGTTGGCCTTCCTCTTTTTAACCAAAGACATTAACCATTAAAGATTCTCACAGCCACAAGAAAAGCTCAAGCCTCAACAAAATGAATCACTAAAATTCAAGCAAAAACAGGGGAGACAACTTAAACTACAACTGCAAAGATTTTCTCTGTATATAAGATGAAACAGAACAGAACGCTCTATGAATCCAAAATTGTATGAATGCTTTCTATATTCTAAACCAAAGATATTGATGGCTGAGACAGGGGAAAAAAAAGTTTCATCTGAAAATCTCTCAACTATACAAGAACCTTTTTTTAAAAAAAAAAAAGCTAATTCATTTAAACAAACCGAAAAAAAATATATAATATTGAAATAAATTCAGCCAACCCCTCTTTAAGAAACTAATCAAACGCAGAGCGCAGAAGATGATGTGGCGTGGCGTGGCGTGGGGCATTTGAATTAGCTTCTGTTGTGAATCGGGTCGGATCCTTTCTTGACTCCTCTTTTGTTGGATTGGTTCGGGTCAAAAGCCATGGCAGGGGATGGAGCCAAGTTCATCTTCTTCATATTCAATCCTTTCACAGAAACAGCCTTGTGGGTGTTGACAATGGGGGATTTTAAGGGCACCCATTTGAGAGCAAGATCAATGGAGCTGACCCCAGATGCGGTTTGAGGTTGAAGACACAAAACAAACCCAGCAAGAACGAAGACAAAAATCATGCCTTTCCTGTTAAGCAAGAACCCCATATTGTGTGTTGGAAATTGAAGAATCTGCAGAAGATGAAGGAAGGATATAACTGGGGGAGAAAGGGAAAAACTATGCACCAAACTTTGTTATGGCAAGTTTCATGTGAGAGTTAAGCCACTGGATTTATCTAATTTTATTATGGGGCTGTCATGTTTTATAAATAAGACTGGGAAAAAGGTAAAAAAAAAAATATATATATATATATATATAAAAAAATAATAAAAGGAATGAAAGCAAGAGAGAAGATGTAATGTAGGGAAGTTTTTAAGAGATTCACCTCAATCATAAGCCTGCCATAGAAGCAATAAAAAAGGCTGTTTTAGAAGACTCTGTCCAAGTTTGAACAAAAAGTGTTAAGTTGGAACACCATCCTTGGGAAGCCAAGTATCTTTTTGCTCTCATTCAGTTGTTGTATTATCCATAATTTACCAACCAGTCCCTTTCACCACGTCATTCAACGTCGCCTACGTGTACTTGTAACACATGTTTAAATCACGACAGCATCCACAAAACTCAACCTAACAAAAACAAAGTTAAAGCAAAAGAATGTGATAATTGGCCTCCTCCTAGTTCGTCTTAGATTTTCAAAATCGAAAACGGGGTTTTGGAATTGAAAGCATATTCTCCATTGAGGCATGAAAAGCAGAGATGTTGGGAGAATGGGAGGAAAACAGAAACAAGATGTGTATTAGTAAGTTAATTGTGTTTGTGTTAAGTTATTTGTAATGTGCATAGAAAACGAGAGAGAGACGTGGATTGTTGAGCTAAATGGGGTTCCTTTATGCTTTTCTTAGGGAATTCCATTGAACTCAAAAGCTTTTTAATAAAGAAAAAAAGAAAACTCTTGAACAATACATTATATTACACTGTAGGGATGTGTTGTTATCAATGAAGACCAGAGCAGGACCATCTTTTGAGTTTTGATCAACGCTCTGGTTTTACTTTTTTACCCAAAAGAGAAAATGTTTGAGGAGATTATAAAAGAAAACTAAAGAAAGAGAGAAAAGAGAGAGAGGGGGGACTTGTGATTGGGACAGCTCACATATTGCTCTAAACTCCTTGCCCTTCTCTGCTTACTGATGTGGCCTCTCTTGCCTTTCAAACTGTCCATTCATCTTTATTTTAGCCTTTCAAACCTTCCTCCAATCACTTTCTACTGCCAAATCTTCTTTCTTTCCTTGCTACTCTATAGTCTATGTTAGTTTTTTTTTTCAGTTTCAATTTCATTCGCGTGGTTTTAAAAGTTTTAGTTAGATTCTTGTAGTTTTGATTAAACGTCACACACTTCGATTAATATTATAGGACAATCGTCATAAGAAATTAATTTTTAAGTACGTGATTATCGTAGGGTTTAAATTCATCTGGACTCATTTGAACTAATGAGCGAACTCAAGATAGATTAACCATTTATTTATCTTATGTGTTTCACATCAAAAGATAAGATTAGTGCTTGCTCGAGTGCTTTTCTAAAAGTAGTGACTCTCTTACTAGAGAGAGTAGTATTCACTATTCAATTGCTAATATCAATAAATACTTTAATAGTAATACTTTTTTTATATATAATATATTATGTTATAATTGAGATAGAGGGGACTCAAACCCTACCATTTATAAGAAATGTTATATTAATCACTTGAGCTAAATTAATAATACTTAATGTAAATATAATTAAATCACTTGAGCTAAATTAATAATACTTAATGTAAATATAATTAATGTCAAAGTTTGGAGACGAGGATGGTGTGACAAAAATTATTCTTTATTGTTTCATTTTTTTGTGAAAGTTCATGCATATTTCTATTACAAATAATTGACATCATCATATTTATACGAATAACATGAATAACATGAGGGAAAAAAAATGACATAGTTTTGGTCCTCTAACATTAAAGACTATAACGAATAGCGTGTTTTAGTTCGAATTGGCTTAATTTAATATGTACATATAATGAGTATATCTCGTATTAGTGACGATTCTAATATAATAGAAAATGAGAGAGCTTAAGTTACGAGAAAATCCCTCATCATTGTGAAGCTGAAATGTAACATAAGTAGGATATTATGAAATAATGAAAAGGTAAATTAAGAGAATAGAAAATGAAGTTTTCTTCTTTTTTCATTCACCTTTTCGTATTAAGAAAAATATTCTATCCGCTATAGACTTTGGCTCATTCTATAAGCAAGCAAACTTTAACTCTTCCTATTTATTACAATTCTTTATCTTTAATAAATAACACGATGGATAAATTATGGGAAAATGTTTTTTTATCTTATTTATAAGCTCTAAATCTCAAGGGGAAAAAAGCCCATTTCAATTTGAATTTTGAGAAAATAATAAATTTGGATAGTATTTTTTTAGAAAATAATATGTGAGGTATGAATTTTCTAATATGATATGTGATATTTAAGAATTAAAAAAGAATCACATATATTTATATGTATTTTAATAAATTTATATAAAAAAAATATACACTACGGAAATAAATAACTAAAATTGGTGTTTCAAGAAGGAAAAAAAAAGGCAAAGTTGGAAACTCACTCATTATTCTCCACTAGTCTTAAATAGAGAATGAAATAGACATGAAGTCCCAAACAAAATGCTATATCACCTTAATAATACTTAATGTACATAATAATTAATGTCAAAGTTTGGAAATGAAGATGGGTGTGACAAAAATTATTTTTTATGATTTCATTTTTTTGTGAAAGTTTGTGCGTATTCCTATTACAAATAATTAACATCATCATATTTATACGAATAATATGGGGGAGAAACAATGACATAGTTTTGGTCTTCTAACATTGAAGACTATAATGAATAGCATTGCTTTAGTTCTAATTGGCTTAATCTAATACGCAGATGCAACGCTTTTCAATTAAGGAGATAGTATATATGCCCAAGCGAGTATAGCTTAACGGTCATACTTCTTTTTTTTTCATTCAACTTTTGTTATTAAGAAAAATATACTGCAAACTTGAAGTCTTTCTATTTATTACAATTATTTATCTTTAATAAATAACCATGAGAAAATGATTTGTTTGATCTAATTTATAAGCACTAAATCCTAAGAAAAAAAAACCACTTTAAGTTCCAACTTTGAGAAACTAATAAATTTGGATAATAACTTTTTTATGAAAGAATATGTGAGGTGAAGATTCGAGCTATAGACCGAATAATATTAATGAATTAATTGGGTTGTTTTATTCAATTTAAAAAAGAAGACCGGTTTGCATTAGACCGATCCGAATAAAAGTTAAACCGGATGCCTTCAGTTTTAAGACGATGGAGGCGAATATAAAATCCCGAGTTCTATATCGCTAGGGTTTTAGTTCGAAGCTTTGGCGGTTCCAACTTCAGAGCAGAGCAGAGCACACTGATAATGGCAGAAGAAACAACTCCTCAACTCGCTGAAAACGATCCGGAGGTAACCAACTCGGCCACCGAAGATATGGAACTGGAAACCTCAGAGCCCGGGGCAGAACCGAAAGGATTAAATGGTGATTCTGAAGCAAATGAGGCCGCTCCAGAAACGAATGGGGATGCAAATTCGAAGCGTGAGAGAGAGGAAGAAACCGCCGATGAGAATATCGGCGAGGCGAAAAAGCCGAAGGTGGAGAAGTCGGTCGAAGAGGAAAGGATGGAGAAGGTGGAAGGAGACGGGAAGGGAGATGAGAAGTCTGGTCCTGTGAGCCTAGGCCCGAAGAGCTTTGGATCATCGGTGGAGATGTTCGATTACTTCTACAAGTTCCTCCATTACTGGCCTGCCAACTTGAACTTGAACGAGGTATAGTATTATAGACTTCTGTCATCTGCTACAGTCCTCTGTTTTGTTAATGGTAATGTAGAAGAATTTTGAATTTATTTTGCTTTGAAGGGAGATTTGGAACTTGTTTGAACGAATTTTCTACGGTATCCCGTTGGTTTTGTTCATCATTATTATTTTGTGTGTTTAAAAGATACATATCGCTTAAGAGGATTAAATTACGAAAGTAGGTGGGGAATTAGGCGTCTCAAACCTCATGAAAGGTGGACGGTTCGTTAGTTTTAGGTTTAGCAGAAGGAGGCTCTTGTTCAATTTGATATAATGCTTTTATGTCTTATGAATTATTCTGTTGTCGGTAAAGTAGCTTGGGTTTATAATCTATTGTGGACGCAAGTCAATTCATACTTAATTATCGTAGTTGTCTTGTTGAAGAAAAAGCTTGTTTTTGTGCACATGTTGGAATCTGAGGCGTGTCATTCTTCAATATTCTGATGGAGATTGATGAGGGTTTCTTCTTTACTTTTAAGAGTTTGAGGTCTTTACTTCTCAGAGTTCCTTAATAGGCACACTAAATTAAATGTGTATTATATTTTTGTCGATCAACAATACTCCTTGCAAGCAAGCAACTGGTTGAATATTTGAAATTATGATCAGCATTAGTTTTTCATGAAAGGTTTATTTAAGTGTCCTGTAATGTATTTGGTGAAATATTATTTGTCTGCCTGTGCATGTTTGTTTATAAGGAGATCTCTAAATTTATTTGTTATTTGAATCAAATGCTGGCTTGTCGAATTGTTTAAGTCTTTCTGTGAACGATTGAGGATATATTAATTGGAAATCATAAAGATCTTCTCGGCTCTTCCATCAGTTTGATTATTAATTCGTGTTGGTGATTCAATTTTATACAATTTCCATTTAAAAAGAAAAAGGAAAAAAAAATTCTGGTTAATTTGGTTATGATTGTTTTGCTGATTTTTTTAGTCAATTCTGGTTGATTTGGCTGAATAGTTTTTCCAAAAAAAAAAAAGAAAAGGTTTTTCTGAATCAGTTTTCAAAATTTGCCTAAACCGTCTGTTGGTTTAGTGCAAGTTTTTGTCAAAACCCAATTACATCTTTAGATGGTACTGTTTGACATAATTTGTCATAGGTAATGGAATATATGTGGTAAGTAGAAAATCTCCACCCCTGGAAGAATTAATTTTATTTGGTTCTTTGATTGAATACTCTATTGGCCTGATTTGCTCATTGAATAATTTCTTTCAGAACCTTATTCGGCATTGTTATGTTGTTATTCTTCATGATACCCTTATTTCTTATTCTTGATTGATTTTAGTGGAAGAAATAGACGTGCTTTATAATCCAACAAAATCATTCATTTCTTGGGGGTGGGCAGGGAGGGTCAAAGCTTATTATATGTGTAGTACTTTCTTGCTCATTCTGTGATGTAGCAAAGTATACGAACAAATATAGCATGGCTCTTCTGAAACAAAAGCAAGATCCACACTGAGCCAGTGAGCCACTGTGGCATAAAATGTTGGGGCAAGTTATGATTATTGTTTTGAAATCTATGTGTTCATGGCCGGTTAAATCAAAAGGCTCAAGTGCTTATTTGTATTGGCAGCAATCATTAGTACTTCTGTTGTATTTTATTTCAATATTTTTTTCACTTTCTGTGAAAATCTTGGTTCACATAGTATTCAACCTTACCATAACTAATTAATTATGACATCAATAACTTCCTTCATTAGTTCAAATTTCTGTCATATGTTTGAATTGTAATGTCATGAATTCAAATTTCTGTCATAAATTCCTTAATGCACCTAGTATTATTTTTTCAGTCGTGTTTTCCATTTATCAGTAGCCGTTCAAATGGCAAAAATTTCCACCATTTTTAGCCCTTGATGGTCTTCAACTTGATACGGAACATTAATAATTTGATCAAATTCAATGTTGAAGAAATTGATTCATGGTAACAATGTTTGCATGTTGAGGAGCATTAATCGTATAGATGATCCAATATTTGATTTTTTGTTTGTGGCAGTACGAGCAGATGGTGCTGCTGGAGTTGCTCAAGAAGGGCCATGTAGAACCAGAGAAAAAGATCGGTTGTGGTATCCACGCGTTCCAGATTCGAAACCATCCTACGTTTAAAAGCAAGTGCTACTTCCTGATTCGGGAAGATGAGTCCGTGGATGACTTCAGCTTCAGGAAGTGTGTGGATCACATCCTTCCCCTCCCTGAAAACTTGAAGGTAAAATCTGATGCAAACAGAGCATTAGGAGGCTGTAAGCATCGTGGCGGGGGACGGGGAGGCGGTGGTGGGCGTGGACGAGGGGGTAGGTCGAGAAACTGATGTTTTCTCGACATCCAAGTCAGTTTTCCTGTGAAGATTTTGGAAGTAAATTTTAACCTCTGGCCTCTCCCATGGCCTTGAGATTAAGGAAGAAAGTAGAGATGTTTTATTTGTGCCCATAATTCCTATTATTTGTGCTTCTCACTGTGCTGATGCAAACTATAAACTCTAGTTTGGACCATACTTTTCAATGAAAGCATGAGTTTTTTTACTTTCACGTTCACAGATTTCTTGAATTTTTTTTTATCTAATTAGATTCTTCATTTTATATCAGAGTGTTCGATTGTTAATTCTTTGATCTTGGAAATTTATGAAATTGATGTGAAGAACTCAAATTTGAAATTATACTGCCGACGAGGATAATTAAATATATGCATTATTCCATCTGTGGAATGGAATATTAAATTAAAAATTGAGATAAAAGTCCAATAAATGGAAGTAATAAGAAACCAACCCTCTGGGGTCTACCCAAAAGGCAATAATAATCGAAAAAATCGGCCTCCACTCATTTGCATTAAATCAGATATTGAATGAATTAGAGCTTTGTAAATTCCAGTTAATAAAATCAACAGTTGAAGAAATAAAATGTAATAAAGTTGTAACTGATCCTCACTAAGTTCTCTCTAATCCTAATTATAATATGGATTTAAATTCCCACCTTCCACAATGATTGATGATGATGAATTATGATGCGTTACATTACATTACAACCGCCATCACATATCTTCCATACCATAAAATGGCAGTGAGTCAACTCGGTCCTGTGTGTATTATCCAACTGAGTCGTGTGGGATGGAATTGTAATGATTAAACACCGTCTGACATTGGCTTCAGACGGCTAAAAGAAAAGATTTTGATGGTTAATCATTATGTTCAGTCCCTAAAGTTTTTAGCACCTTCATTCTATTGGCTTAGTTTCTTTGTAAATTTCCTACGTGGCAAACATGCAGGCTTGTCACAAATTAATTTATAAAATCATCATATTATATTAACTAACATTTTCAATAATGTTTTTTTTTTACCATTAACTGATGCTGAATCAAAGTAATTACGTGGAGTCCGAGAGTGGGCAATTTATTCTTCCGCGCACGATTTCATGATTATTCTATTGTTCATCATTAAAAAATCTCAAAACTGATTTGTTTCTGTGTGTCTCTCTCTATATGTAATGAATAAAAAAGAAATCTTGTAACTCTCAGAATAAATGAAAATTTGATAAAGATATATTATATCCCTTATCTGTTGTGTGTTCATGCATGGTGGTTTTATATCCATGGCGGCGCACGTTCTCCAATTTCCTCTCTCTTTCTTATTTCTTAAATTGAAGCATTCCCAATTCATCGTACCATTTTGTGCACTATAAATACCCCACCATTTCGCCTCTTCTTCTCCCCCTCTTCTCATCCAACAACAATGGGCACCACTTGGAGGTCTAATTTTGAAGATCCTTTCCCTTCTTCATGCCATCCTCCTCTCCATTTCAGGTAACTTTTTATTTTCATAACCATGTCTTTTAGTTCCACCATTGTTTCATGTGCATGTATAATGTTAATTTTGTGTAGAAGCTACAATTCTGGATTGGATTGGGCGCAGTGCAATTTTGGGTTGCAAGAGAGCGTTTTCGACGTTGTTCCTTTGTTTGAGAGCTGCCCGGTTGAGGATATTGAGCCCATTAACACCTACATATCAGGTGAGATGATGCAATAAAAAGAAAAAAATGTGACATTTATATTGTATTCTTGATGGGTAATCTGAAAGATTGAAACTTTATGTTTTGTAGAAGATGTTCTGCGTGGTTATGGAGATGGGGTTGGGATTTGGGGCGAAATGGAGGCTGGATTTGGGTTTCAGAAGCAGCCATTACTGCTGGAGGGATCAGGTGGATTATCAGAAAATGGAGAGAGATCAAAAGAGAGGGTTATGAGAGGGAGAAGAAAGTGCAGAGAAAGCAGCAATAATGGTAGTAGTTCATCAAAAATGTTGTCGAGAAAAACAATATCTCAATACTTCTACATGCCTATTACTCAGGCGGCCAAAGAGCTGAATGTGGGACTCACTCTCTTGAAGAAGAGATGTAGAGAATTGGGTATTAGAAGATGGCCTCATAGGAAGTTGATGAGCCTCCAAACCCTAATCAAGAATGTTAAGGCAAGTCATCTCTCATCTTTATTAATAATATTTTGTTTATAACATGGAAATTACTCGGCTCCTTAATTAAACTGACGATCAATCTTGTTCTTGCTACCATGAAATGTTTGATAACTAAGAGAGAAAAAAAACAGACTTTTTATGAAAATCAATGAGTTGTCATACTATGGACAAGATTTCTCCTTACTGTTAAGGAGTCAAGTATTTTAGTTTAAAATTGGATTAAATTACAATGTTGCGGGGAAGTGCAGGAACTTCGAGAGGGGGAGGAAGAGCGAAATGGAGTGAAGTTGAGGAATGTATTGGAGATATTAGAGGAAGAGAAGAAGGTGATGGAGGAGAGGCCAGACTTGCAGCTGGAGGACAACACTAAGAGGCTTAGACAAGCCTGTTTCAAGGCCAACTACAAAAAAAGGAAGCTCTCAGGTATGAGAATGACCAACAATGACTCCCAGTGTTTCTCCGGACCCGCTGCTGCGGCCCGAGGGATGTTCCGAGGTGAGGAGGAAGAGGATGAAGAAGAAGACGAGGACGAAGAAATGAAATATTTGTTGTCGGATTGCTCGTTTTCGTCGAGTAGCTGCTGTAGTATGATGATGTAATACAAAAACAAAAACGTTTTAAAAAGGGGTTTTGTAAGTCCAATATTTCTTCTTTTGTTCATTAGTGGTTTGTTGGATTTGCAATTCTAAACACAGCAGAGATAATGTAGGGTTACGTTATATAGAAGAAAAAGCAAATGACTTTGATACCACAGTTTCAAGAATATTGGAAGCTGTTCCATATTTCATATGGGTTTTATTTTTATTGCAATTGCGATGGCTGTGTGGATTAGTTACAGTAACGGCTGGATTAATTATAAAGCTACGATTGGGAAAATGGTGAAAAAGAACCATCTTTTTCCCTAAAAATACAACCTGTTTGTGGCATTTACATTATCTGCATATAGTTTTAGCGTTTGAAGTCTACTTCAGAATAACTTTATACTAAATGTAATTGTATAATACATATTCTTGGCAAGAACTCATTATTCAATTACTAGATTTCAATTAATTTTAATAAACTTCCATTTAAATAGGTTCAATGCTATACATTTCATTCCCATAAGTTTTTACTAATATACTACTAAAAATTCGAGTTCCAATACTATTGTTTTTTTAATAATATATGAAGATGGAAATTCGAGATCTTTTGATCACGTATAACTCAGTAGTTTAGGTTGACAATTTTCACTTGTGTTAATTATTCAATTTTAATCACTGTATTTTAACTTGTTAATTTCAATAATCTTTACCTTGATTAACCGTTTAAATATAACAGAAAGTAAAAATTTGACGAGCATAACCTTGACATGGTTATCTATGTTCAATACCTAAACAAACAAATAAATAAAGTAAATGTACGAAATTAAAAATATATATTTATGTGTCGCGATAATGCAGAATTAAATGTGTATAAAAAAAAAGATAATGCAGAATTAAATGAATATAGATGAAATATATTGCATCCGGCGGTTTCGAAGGAATACGAGCCACGGCGAGCGGAGAAAAGCAAAGATTTCGAAGGGTAGCGGTACCGCCATAGATGAAAGTTGTCTTCCGCCAATTTCTTCTCCGCCGTTCTCTGAATCCGCAGCATCATATTTCTCTTCCTCGCTTCGCCTCCACCGCTTCACTCCTTCACTCTCCCAAATCTCTGATTTCCTCCAAATTTCGTCAACATAACTCAACAACTCGCTTCTCAAATGCTCCAATCGAGAGAGAGCCTCTGATTTCTCTCATAAAATCATGCACCCACAAACCACAATTGCTCCAAATCCATGCCCACATTATCCGCACGTCCTCCATCAAAGATCCCATCATTGCCCTCCGCTTCTTGACTCGTGCCGCCACCGCGCCTTTTCGCGAATTGGACTATTCTCGACGATTTTTCTCCCAGCTAACAAACCCATCTGTTTCTCATTACAATGCAATGTTAAGAGCGTATTCTTTGAGCCGCTCACCTCAGGACGGATTGTACGTGTATAGAGATATGGAGAGGCAGGGAATTCGTGCCGATCCATTGTCGTCTTCCTTTGCCATTAAGTCCTGTATAAGGATATTTTCATTACTAAGTGGGGTTCAGATTCACGCGAGGATTTTTAGAAATGGGCATCAGTCGGATAGTCTTTTGCTCACCACTATGATGGACCTGTACTCTCATTGTGGCAAACTTGAGGAAGCATGCAAATTGTTCGACGAAATTCCTCAAAGAGACGTTGTTGCTTGGAACGTTCTGATTTCGTGTCTGACTCGCAATAAACGAACTAGAGATGCTTTGGGTTTATTTGAGATCATGCAGAGTCCAACATATCTCTGCCAACCTGATAAAGTAACTTGTTTGCTTCTCCTCCAAGCGTGTGCAGACTTGAATGCATTGGAATTCGGTGAAAGGATTCATAGTTATATTCAAGAGCGCGGTTATGATACTGAGAGCAATTTGTGTAATTCCCTGATATCTATGTATTCGCGTTGTGGGCGTGTGGATAAGGCATATGAAGTGTTTGACAAAATGCCAGAGAAAAATGTAGTTTCATGGAGTGCAATAATTTCCGGGTTATCAATGAATGGGCACGGGAGAGAAGCTATTGAAGCGTTTTGGGAGATGCAAAAGATGGGTATAGAGCCTGATGATCGTACTTTTACTGGAGTTCTTTCTGCTTGTAGCCACTGTGGTCTGGTCGATGAAGGCATGGCATTCTTTGATCGTATGAGAGAGTTCAAGATAGCTCCTAATGTCCATCACTATGGATGCATGGTTGATCTCTTGGGTCGTGCTGGAATGCTCGACCAAGCCTATCAGCTCGCAATGTCGATGGAGATGAACCCAGATGCGACGTTATGGAGGACCCTTCTTGGAGCTTGTAAAATTCACGGCCATGTAAACCTTGGGGAGCACATAATTGGACATTTGATTGAAGCCAAATCTCAAGAAGCAGGAGATTACGTTCTTTTGCTGAACATTTATTCCTCCGCTGGCAACTGGGACAAGGTAACTGAATTGAGGAAGTTTATGAAGGAGAATGGTATTTATACTACACCTAGCTGCACCACAATAGAACTGAATGGGGTGGTGCATGAGTTTGCTGTGGATGATGTTTCGCATCCGATGAAGGACGAGATTTATGAGCAGCTGGATGAGATCAACAAGCAGCTAAAGATTGCTGGCTATGAATCTGAAATATCATCTGAATTGCACAACTTGAAGGCAGAGGAAAAGGGGTATGCACTTTCTTGCCATAGCGAGAAACTGGCCATAGCTTTTGGGGTTCTTGCAACTCCGCCGGGAAGAACCATCAGAGTGGCTAATAACATTCGTACTTGTGTAGATTGTCATAACTTCGCAAAGTATGTCTCCAGTGTTTATAACAGAAAAGTGGTTGTTAGAGACCGAAGTCGGTTCCACCATTTCCGAGAGGGTCGGTGTTCCTGCAACGATTACTGGTAGCAGCAGATATGCTCTGGACACCATTGATTCTCAGGATATACACCAACCCACTAGGAAGAATTCCCCAAAGTGTGCAGCTTAAACTCATGGCCGTGGGACGTTTCTGAAGATGGGAGAGTTGTTCTGCTTTCACAGGCGAGAATATTATCACAACAGCAGCCGGAGAAAAGGTGGATGTCTAAGTACTTCTGATCATTTGCACTTTGCAAGTTAAATGGAAAAACAGCAGAAGTTACTTCCGCAAATGCAGTATGGGTTGGAATTTGAAGACGAGTGACGGCTGGATCTCTTCAAGTTATTAGATAATGCATCAATTAAAGGATTAGTTAATAAACGGAAAGAAAATTGCAAATTTCTTTCTTTCTTGATTTATTGACGATTTCTGTCCGTCCATTGCTGTCTTGAATTCCATGAAAACTGTTATAGGAATTGAGATTTTCTTGAATTCCAGGACAAATCTGTCTTTGCAGAATAGAAAATCTTGCATTAAAGCTTCTGTAAGAAATTGAGATGATGCTAAACAAGCAGCCCGAATCTCATATACAAGGAGAAAAATTTTTTGGCTGAAGTAAAAGTGAACTGTCTTTCTCTTGAAGAACTTAGCCAACAAACTGATTCTGTATAATTTTCGGATATTGACCCAAAAAAGGAAAAAAAAAATCAATCTTAGTGTCTTCTGATGAAGTGCACAGTCGTACCAACCATGTTATTACAAAATTTTCCATCACCAAGAACTCCTAATGAAACGATTACATTCTTTGGATAATCTACGGCAGCAGTAAATATCTTAAACAGCAGTTTTCCTTCATCAAACGGGGGAAACATGAAAACGTAGGAACTACTAAACAAAAAGAAAAGCCGCAAACCGATGCTTAGGATTCAATGCAACTCTCCGAGCATGTTCTTAAAAGTTAAAAAGCAAACTTCTAAGCAGCCACAGCTTGTTTCTGAGTAAAAGCAATGCCCTTCTCGATGCTTGCCTTCAGTTCTGGCTTTAGAGCTTCAAGAGCCTTCTGCTCGTACTCGGACAAACCCTCAAGATCAGATGTTACAAAGGCTTCAACTCCATTCCTGCCGAGCTTAATCCTCGATGCAAAGAAAGGAAGTTCAGTCAGATCAGACTGCACAAAAGAGCACTCGTAAACATCACTGTCTCCGTCCAAAGCACGAAGAGATGATTCGACAAATCTTGCAGCGGCATATGCCATTGAAAGGGTAGCAGATCCTGCGCCTGCCTTTGCTTCCACAACTTCGGTTCCCGCATTTTGAATCCTGTCAGTCAGTTCTTTAACTTCTTCATCTGTAAAGCTCACTGAAGGCCTTGTCTTTGATAAGAGAGGAAGAATGGTTATGCCCGCATGTCCCCCAATGACCGGGACATCGACATCAATCAGTTTAAGGTTCTTCCTTTCAGCAACGAAAGTGTTTGCCCGCACAACATCCAATGTAGTAACTCCAAAGAGCTTCTTTGGATCATACACACCCTTCCGCTTTAGAACTTCTGCTGCAATTGGCACAGTGGAGTTCACAGGGTTGCTAATGATATGGATGAAGGCATCGGGACAGTTATCAGCAACTGCCTCGACCAAACTCTTGACTATGCCAGCATTTATATTGAAGAGGTCGTCACGAGTCATACCGGGCTTTCTAGGAACCCCAGCGGGTATGACAACAACATCTACACCTTTTAAAGCATTGGCTAATTCAGAAGGTCCCGTGAAATCCTTAACTTTTGAGGGAGTGTTGCAGTGGCTAATATCAGCAGCGACACCCTTGACGTTTGCAATATCATAAAGGTTCAAGGCGGAAACCAGTGGAGACATCTTGATGAGAAGTGCCAGAGGCTGACCAATCCCTCCAGCAGCTCCAAGAACAGCAACTTTGTAAGAGGCTTGAGGTTGAAGATTTTTGCATACGTGCTGGTTCACTCTTTGGGCTGATGGAGCGAGATGACGCCATAGAGCGGCACTGCTCTGTTTCCCTAGGAAAGAAGACTCTGATTCACAACGTAGAGATGATGCTGCCTTGAGCCCACAGAAGCTCTTAAGAGTCTCTTGTGAATTGAACCTGAAGCTAGCAGACTTTGATTGGGAAAATGAGCTGAGTTTAGTATTAAGTGATGCAGTTGCTCCAACTGACAAAATAGTTGCTGATGTTGCTGCCATCTCTGACTCTGTTAAAGAAAGGGGAGGCGGGGGAAGCATAAGTCATTTTCATGATCTGGTGATTCTCCAACAATAAAAAACCATCAGCATTGCTTAACTTCCTAAGAACTACACTGAAGAATAGATATCTCAACTCTATAAGAAAACTATGACAACTACAACCAGCACTCCAGATGATATATAAAACAGATATTTGAAAACGTATTGAAAGTTGGTAATTTCACAAGTTAATAAACAAAGTTCAAATCAAAGGCAAAATTTATCAAATTTTATAAGCAAAATATGCAACAACCCTAGGAGTTATACATACCATTTATTTGTAATTCATCAGTCATCTTATAGCTATCAAACACAACAAATTAAGAAAAGTGCCTTGATTTTCCATGTAAAGTGTGGCCCAACTTCTATTGTTATCACTTAAAAAGAAAACAACAAACAAGGAATATGTAGCCCCAGAGGGGAAAAAGCACAAGCAAAATGAAAGTTCGCCAACGACCCATCTTTTCAGATCCACGAGTCTAAAAGGAAAAAAACTTTCACTCATCAATTCGCGTGAAATAGAAGATAACACGAATTCCTTATCGAAATCCCAGCTTCAAAATCAACCAAGGCAGGGAACCGCGCTCTCAGAAACAAATATATACAACCAAATTCTGCTAGAACATAAAACAACCAGATCCAGAGCATCCGAAATGAACATAAAACAAATCGATCTGCCAAAATCACACAGATTACGGATAAATTTGAAAGAAACAACCCAAACAAGCTAAATAACGAATCAACATTCAACCAAGCACCGAGTATTCAACTTTCCCGAGAAAGTGAAAGAAAAAACAGAACAGATGGTGAAATCGAACCTTGAGACGCTGGAAAATTCGAGCTGGTGATGGAAGAAGAAAGTGGGGGAGTGGAGATTTACGGGGCTTGAGACTAGAGGGTATTCGAAATGGGTATTACGGGTCGTAGGATTCTCCGCCTGAAAGCCACGGACTTGGCAGCGCTTTTTGAACAGCGAAGGTTTATATTACTTCCCTTTCTCTTTCTGTGTACCGAATACTCCGCCGCAATGCGAATCTTGGCCCTTTTTCAAGCGTTTCCATACCCAAATCTTAACCGTTACTTCCCTTCAACATTTCAACGGCCCTGATTCTTCTCTCCCTTCGGCCCCCTCTCCCTCTGTATACGAACGTATTAATAGAAATTAGATGGACCCAAACCAGTTCTACAGTTAATTGCTATACTTCTTCTCGTTCCCCTAAAAAGAAAGCTGTTTACTTTTTGATATAAATTTAAATCCCATAACCAGAATGCAATGAATGTACAGGAGTTTATTTAATATAGTTAAATTTACTTGGCCAATTAGTGATTCTAATATTGTATTATTAGAATAAAAGGGCTACTGTTTTATATTAGTAATTTGTCTGTTGAGACCATAGCAAATGAAATAAAAGTGAGTTATTTACACGCAATTGGATGCCCAATCATATAATTTTTTTTTAAACGTAGATGTGAAAGTATAAGCATATGAAAATTGGGATGTCACATCATACTTAGCTCAGGGAAAAAAACATCTGATCAATCTAATTAATTGGCCTTTCGAGACCATTAAAGGGTGTGTTATAGCTGCCTGATTGATTACATAGTCTAATAGGAAATATAACACCATTGCAAAATATAGTTAAAGGAATTGCACATTCCCAAACAAATAACAACAAAACAGTGGTCTCTTTCATTGTCTAACTCAAATTTGAGCTTAAAATGGCTGAGAAAAGGAGAGGAAATCAACCCCCACAAAGTGAAGCGAAGATGATTACTTAACATTAAAAAACATCCCATCTACAAAATCTATGATTGAATATGTGGATGCAAAGTAAACTAAGATTCCTTTTTTAACAGAGGATTGATGATTAAGTTGAAAGTTGTGTTGTTCTTCTCATGAACTAATTTTTTCCATCTCCCTCCTGAGAGCATTGGCCCTGACCAAGCTCCCAATGGTGTTGACAGCCAATTTCAAGTCCTCCAATGGATTCCCAGGCACCACTTTCTTGTACAAGTAGCTGTCGAATGTCATCTTCTGCACATACTCGTCGGCGCACATCTCCACAAAAGCTTCCCTCGCCGGATTCGACCTGTAGAACACCTTCTGCAGCACATCCAGAACCTTGTAAGTCGGCCAGTAAGTCTTGTCCCACTTCTCCAAGTACTTCCTCAGGTCCGATTCCTCCACCATTCTCTTCCCGTTC